AGGAAAAAGAACACAAAGTTAACTGGTCCTTTTTGGATTCTCCTCATTTTCAAAAAGGTCCTGTAAACAAAAATGGGCTATAGAATATGTCACCTTCCTTCCTTAACATTACCCTTTAGATCTTTGATATATGCCAGGTAATCCAAAGGAAAAGTGCATAGAAGGAGTGAGCTGGGAAGAAGGAAACAATTGCCAGCAGGCTGGGAATAGCAGCATGTGGCAGACATTACAGGCATTTGCTAGTATCCAGTTCTTCTCTTTTGAATACAGGGCAAGTCTTACCTTCATATCTCCTTCAAGTTAGGCAGGGCTGCATGACTGCAGAGAGTAGAAGTGATGTGTGTCATTTCTTCATTGCTAGCACTCCATCTGGTTCTGTCCTTCTAATCTCTCCCTGTTCCTCTCCCCCACCCCTCTCTTTCTCTAAAGTGGCAACTGTGGAAGTGCATTTGACATTGAAGTGCAACTCATGAGTCCCCACATGGAGGAGAAGTGCCTGGAATCTCTGACTTGCACAGATTTTAAGTCACTGAGATTTGGGGCAGGGTAGGGGAGCAGGGGGTGGTTGTTAGGCAGAAAAACCAAATGTCTCTTGATTTATACCCAATGATTTTTTTTCTCTCCTCCCAGACCTATTAGAGTTCTGGAAAATTTGTGCATTATCCCAGCCCTATTCTCACCAAAATTCAGAGAAGTGGGTAATGCATTTTTTTCTCATACTTAGGATATTCAGCTGAGAAGTATGATGGAGTCCTTTCTTCCATCTGAGCAAAGGAGGGCTCTGTATTCTGTAGTGGAATAAAATATTCTTCCACAGCATAGGATGAAAGCATGGTAATAATGAAGCGAAAGCTCAGAAAAAAAATGACACTTCAAAATAGTTCTAAGATGGGTTTTTAGGCCAGAATAGAATATTTTGTAATCTTCACCTTCCCTTTCATTTTTTTGGCAACTCTGGTTTTGTTGGACAAGCTTTTTAAATCCTGTCTCTGAGCAGAAACTTTGCTTTATTCATAACACATGACGTAAAGACAATATGCAAAAAGCTTGGCATCTCTAGGTCAATCCAGAAATATTTCTGAATCTTTCCAGCACTGCAATACCTCAAGAAAATGGTTAGGAGCCCAGTGCAATCAGAGTGACAGAGCTGGACTTTCATACACAATACACACACACACACACACACACACATCTGTGGAGAGAAGGATCTCAAAAAACTTCTGAATTACATCATTATCTTCTTTCAATATAAATATTTGATGATACAAGATGCCTTACTAACAAGTCCTGGGTGGTACTAGCCTGGCAAGTTTTCAACTCCTGGGGAAGAGGACCACTTGAGTCTTTTTTCCTGTGTACTTTCCCTGGGGCAATCTTCCTGTTAGTGTTTCCTACTTTAACAAAGGTGAAAAGTGAAGATGGCTATGGTGAGCCTCTGCTGTCTTCTCAGCTCCAGTGTTGGGGCAGGTGCTTCTCAAAGTGGATAATCCAAACAATAGCATTGCTCTTTATTTGAAAAATATTCACTGAGTTACTGAAGAATTGTATGTATGGCATTGTGCTGAGAACTTTGGTGAATTGAACATGAATAAGACAGTTTGCAAAGCTGTGAGCAGAAATACTACATGGGCGAGGGGTGGGAAGGAGGAAGGACAGCCTGGGTACAAACTTCCATTCCATCCTTCCCAGCAGGAGACCAAACCATCCTGTCTTGGTTCCTTACTAGGAAAGAAGGGATACAATGAGGATGCGTCAGGAGACTGCTAGAAGGATCAGGTGGGAGTGTCTTTATGTAGCAGCTCAGCATTAGGAGAGTTTGGTGTGCAAAAGCCATGTTTAGGCCTGTCCTGCACTGTCTTACGAGTTTCTTGGAGTAAAAAAAAAAAAAAAAAAAAAGTCTCAAGGAAAAAAATCACTAAATCTTTGACATTTAGGATGAAGCTAATTCTTCCTCTTACCTTGTCCAATACTTTTGAATAACCCATTTTAGTGCATAATGGTAGTTTTTCTTTCTTGGTGGACAATGAAATGGGAGAGAGATCACATGAACAGTTATAGAGAATAAATGGTAGCTTTCCCAAAGTAGGAGGGACAAAGTAATATTTTCCTCATTGATGGCAAGGTTCATGCTTGATGTCTATAAAGGTTTAGATATGAGGTGTTCCCCCAAAGGCCATGTATGAGAATATTCAGAGGAGAAATGATTAGATTATGAGAGCTTTAACCTCAATAGAATATTAATCCACTGATATGGGTTAACTGGGCTAACTGTAGGCAGGTAGAGTGTAGCTAGAGGAAGTCAATCACTGGGGTTATGTCTTTGAGGCTTATATTTTGTCCCTGGTGAGCAAAGCTCTCTTTCTCTGCTCCCTCGTTGCCATGTCCTCTTGCTGCTTTGCTCCTCTACACCATTCTGCTATGATGCTCACCTCAAGGCCTTACCTCAAGGCCCAGAGCTACAGAGACAGCTGACCAGGGACTGAACCTCTGAAGCTGTGAGCCAAAGTAAACTTTTCTTCTTAAGTTGTTCTTGTCAGGTCTTTTGGTCACAGTGACAAAAAGCTAACACGGTGCCCCTATAACAAGACACAGGCTTACAAGAGAAAAGCATGTAAATTTATTAACCTTTTTCTTCTTTTGAACTAAAGGTATCTATCTATTCAGTGACTCAGAACTCAAGGCAGTAAGTTGTTTATAACTTAAACAACTTGGATGAAACAGATGTCCTCAAAAGAAAGACAAAAAGATGCAGTCCTTCCAAGATCCAGATCCACTCCCAAGGATGGCCACAAGACAGACACATATGCCCCTCAAGAACTGACAGCACCAAGCACATTAACCACAAATGAGGTATAATCTAATTTCTCTCTGGTCATATTCTTGGGACCCCCCCCCCTCCAGCCTGAAGTTGTCTGCCTGGACATGCAAGACTGATAAGCTGTATGCCCTGATTGGTAGAAGGTTAAGGCAAGTTCTCAGCACACAAAACAAGACTAGGAAAAAGATAGCTGTTCATAGAGGGAAAAAAATCAATAATGAATAGGTACCCTAAAACTAAATTCAGCCAGAGTCCCAGTCCAAGAAGTACTTTTCTCTGCTAATCTGAACTTGGAAAGGAGCAGACAAGAAGAACTTTTTACCTTCTTCTTTCTACCTAGAACTACAGAGATCCTAGAAAGCTCTTCTTAGTGAGAATCTTATTTCACCAACTTTTTGTCAATTGTCCCAGGATCTCATCTGTAGGTGGCAGAGCAAGAGGGATGGCTCAGCCACCCACATTGGGCACCAAGAAATGTAGGGAAGAAAAAGTGTTATTTTGTCTTCGTTCTTTGCAAGGATCATGGCTGAGGCCCCTACAACAAGAGATCAAAGAGAAAAGCTGACAAACTTATTTATTGTACATTTTTAATGACATGGGACCCTTCAGAAATGAAAATCTCAAGAAATAGGGAAGCCTGTGCATTTTTATGCTTTGATGAAGAGTGAACAGGCCTGCATAAGTATAACTAGAGGGGAAAGGTATATGATCTAATGGTAATAAACCGGGGGCAGGGGGTAGTACTTAGTGAGGCCCATTTGTTCATATTCTTCTCTGCCTCCCTGTGTCTTCAGAGATAAGGACATTCCTTTCCTCAGGGTATAGGGAGGGCACATCTGGAAAGAAGGTTTTATGACCTGCTTCTGGGGAAAGACAGCTAGGTTTTATGACCTGCTTCAGGGGAGTGAGGAGAAGGAAGGGGGAAGGAGACAGTCACTGTCCTGTTCTGCTGTTTTCTCATGTTTTAGGGGTAGCGTGCCCTGAACCCTACCACCAACTTCTCAAATACTTCTTTATATTTGAAATTGGCCAGGTCAGCTTATAAGAATTCATGGAAAATGTGCATTTAATCAGTTGCAAAATTCAGCTTGGTTTTCACAAACATTCTGCGGAAGATCACAAGTTCTCCAAATGTACTTTGCACAGAGGGAGATGCATGGCCTTGGCCTGGAACATTTCCTTCCTTATTTCTTGCAGGTTTACCCAAATCTCCATCTGATGCCCAGCACATCTGCTTGTTGCCCAGGAATACCTTCCCTGGTTCACTCCAGGCAGGTGAGATGCTCCTTCTTTGGCCCTTGCAATGGAGCTTGGACGTGCATCTATCATAACACTTTATTTTATTCTGCTTTATGTTATAGTTATTGTTTGGGGGTCTTTTGTAATACAGTTCTTGAGGACAAGGCATATATCCTATTGCTTTCAAACTTTGCCTGAGCACTTGGTCTGTTTAACAAATATGAAGTTGTTAAGAGACTTGGTCTTTGATCCGTTCTTCATCACTCACTGCTGACTTGGTACACAGCACTCTGTTGGGTGTTGACAGGAGACAGGAAATAGGGTATGACTTGATTTTTAGCCCCTAAGGCAATTAAATTTCCCAAGAGGAGCAGGTAAAAATGATTGTACAGAGGACAGGTTGGGTCACTAACGTCTTGGGTAAGAGCTTGCCAAAGGCTGGGAGTACTTAATGCCTGACTTTGAAGGGGCTGAAGCTCCCAGACCTTTACACTGATCCCAGCCTGATGTTTTGGTCAGAAGCCTGAGGGCAATAGGAATGGGTAGGCCCCTTATTCTCCTGGAAATGCCTAAATTATCCCATGGGTCACCAACTTATTTATTTGCTAATTGAGTGGCCCAGCTTTGGGCTTTAAATCTAAAGAAATCATTTCATCCTTTATTAAATACTGCATGAATCTCACTCTTTGTTCTGCAAGGCTATACACAATATACCAGTGAAACTTGAATTTACACTACAATAGTCATGCCACTAATGACCTTCCAAATGCCACTAATACCACACATGTTCTGCTTCTCGGTTGGATCTGAACCTGTCAAAGAATTCTGAGGCCATTGACCTCCCTCTAATATAAGAACAGACCCCCATGCCCATGCCCACCCCCAGCCTCCCCCATCATTCCATGATTTCATTTCTGAATCAGTTACTCTTTGGAGACCTCGATTCCTTTACACCTACTCTTTTTATTTGGTGGACAATACTTTATTCGGAAATGTTCCCTCCTGTAATTACAAATCTTGTTAGTCATCCTCTTTCTCTCCCCAGGGGGATTGTGGGCTTTAATTAATTAATGTGGTTAAACCGCTTTGAGGTGCCTGGTTGAAAGGTGCTATATAAGTGCAAATTATTATTATTATGTCTGTTGACATCCCATGGTGGCAAAGCCCTCAGCCCTACACATCTAGAGACCTGAACAAAGGCTTCTTCATCTTCACCTTCCCTGCTAGGTCTGAAATCGCTGGTTCAATGGTCTAGGAGCAAATCTGTTACCATCTCAACAGCAATCAACTAATTAATCCCCATTATGTTGGCTTCCGTTTCCTTCTTCCAAGCAGCATGGTCCTGTTTCATTTCACAAATCACACCCCCATCAGCTCTAGACAAAGGTCACAGTATCCCTATGGCCTGTTAGCCTGAAAGGAAAAAGAAAGAGAGAGAGCTTGAAAAAAAAGAATGTTGTCATGAAATGCACTAACTTCCCACCCTTCATGGAAATAAAACCTTCCTTATAGCAGCCGTCCCCTTCCCCTTCCCCACGGAACCACACCTGGCACACCAGATACCCAGAAACACAGTACCGGTGGGATTAAGGTCCGGTGGCTCTGGCTTGACCTACAAAGGGGGACTCTATCTGCACTGGTGGGAAAAGGTCATCCAAAGATGTCGGGGCCCCTCTTCAGCTTTCTCTACTACCCCCAAGTTTCCCCTGAGAAAGCCAGCTGCCATCTGTAGCCAGGAAGCCCTCACAAAGGCTGGGGACCATGATTTAGATGTTTTGTGCTACACCTAGCACACCACAGCCCTTAACAAATGCCTAGTGCTTCCACTATGATGGTAGCCATTGAAAACAGCCCTGTGGGGGAGACTTGGCCTCTTATAGGGACCAAAACACTCCTTACAAGGTCGTGCCTCAGACCCTTTGTTACAGTGGATGTGGGCAAGCCTCAGGGGGTCATGTCTTCATCTGCCTTCATTTATCCTCCCTATTGAAGGGCTCCTTCAGGACATCGGTCAGTCTCTGTGGGAAATGATTTGGAGAGCAACAAAAGAACTTGGGCCCTTTGGGGGGCCTTCAGAATTCAGTAAACATCTGGACGGGGAAGGCCAGATTCTCAAGCAGTCTAGCTGGGGAGATGTCAAAAGAGAAAGAGCTGTGTGTGCAACGTAAGCTCTTAGTTCTGTGGCGACATTTGTTGTCCAGAAAGACACAGACACCCCAGTAGGTAGAAAGGAAGATTTTTCAAAAGCTTCTCTATTTGACGGTTTTTGTGACTGTGGCTCCTGTTTGTCAGTTCTCATGGCCTGTGTGAGGAAATGGAAGTTTCGCATGGTTAGCAAGCAGCATGTGATGTCTGTTCTGATTCTGTACGTGTATGAATAACCTAAGGTTGCATAAGCCTGTCCTGCTAGTTGTTGTTAAACATTTCTGTTATCTTTGAGGTTTTTAAAGTCAAGGTGACTTACTGGATTCTCAGGATGAGCACATTTTAATTGACAAAAAAAAAAAAAAGCACTAAGAAGCTAAGTGATTTATACTTCACACAGTGAGATGTAGGACCTGAACTCTTGACTCTTAATGTTCCCTTTATTGTTGAGTCAATCCATTTAGAACACATTAGTCAGCATGATTCAACATTCGTCACTAATCAGCACTAGAGATGGAACTAATCAGCATTCCCCAGTGTCCCCAAAGCTATCCTCAAATAGCAAAAGAAATTGGCCTCTGTCAAGAGACAATGGAATGTGGTTTTTGTTGGTATTCAGAAGCTGAAGTCTGTTCAAGCCTCACATATTCTTAGGAGTTTTCCTTAGCCATCCTAGTTGGGACAACCCTATTTCCTTCCATCCTTCCATATCCTTGAAACTTGAAGTTGCTGTCATAGTTTGCTGATGATTGGATCTACATAATTACATCTTCCCCAACTAGACTGTGAGCTACATAAGGGAAGGAAACTTTTTTTTCCCTCTCTCAATCTTGTATCCCCTGAGTCCTGAGCAGCATGTTCTGCAAACAATAGATGCTCAACAAATACTTGCTGAACTGAATGAAGCTTAAATGATATTCCATAAAGAATACAAGTCCTTTTGGAAGAGATTTTCAGAGAAAATAAAAAACCTGAATTGATTTAATATCTTTTGGTATTATTACCTGGGCATTTTCACAAATGCAAATTGTTAGTTCTGCCTATGGCTTCTAGGTTCTAAAAGTGGAGTGTGGACCCAGGGTAAACTATGGTCCAAGTCTTGGAATGAAATTTTTCTCTATAACCTTATTTCAACTGCATTTTGTTTCATGTTAAAAAAAAAAAAAGTAGAGGCAGAAAAAACATTTTGGAAAAAAAAATGTTTATAACTTTGGATCTCCTACCCTATTCTGTGCTACAAGCACTAGTAGCTCCCATTCAAGTTTCTTTCTCAAATGCTGAATAACAGAAAACACATACTAAAATTACTGCCTGAAGGAGATTCTGTTTAGGTAGGGTAGGGTGGGTTGCCAAGATTTTGGGGCACTGGTCCTTGGTAGAAGAACAGAATGATAATGCTACTCCTCTTTTCTCTAGGCTCTGGAAACAAACAGGGCCTCAACAGCATTTTTAGCACATACTATATATTTTTTAAATTTTTTTTAGTTTTTGATGGATCTTTATTATTATTTATTTATATGTGGTGCTTACAATTAAACCCAGTACTTACAAAGGAAACTACCAATTACAATACCAACACATGCTAGGCAAGCGTTCTACCACGGAGCTACAATCCCAGCCCCTATGCACACTATTTATGTGGCATTTCAAGAGTATAACTCTATTATGCAGCAAGCCTGATCAAGGATCTGCACTATTGCAATGTGGGAATTAATCTCTGAAAGGTTTATGTCACTAAATATTCATCTTCCTCTTTCTCTTGTGCTAAAAGAGGTCCCACAATTCACAATTTTTGTGGGTACATGGCCACTCAGATTAATAACTACATTTTCATCATTTCTTGCCATATACCCACAGATGGCCAATATGATATAAGTAGAAATAAAGTGTGTAACTTCTGGTTAACATCCTCAAAGAAAGGGGGATACTTTCTCTCCCACCACCATCTCTGTCCCACACAAATCCTGCTACCTGAATGGAGCAATGATGCTGCGTCATATTGGGTCATGACAACAACAATAATATCCTAGGTGTGATGGAGCTACAAGCCAACAGATTGTCCCTGGATGAACCTGGGGAGCCAAGCTGCCACACCAGCTCAGGACCACATTCCTCTGCAGTGCTCTATGAGAAGGGAGTAAGCCTCTCTTTTACACTACTGTTAGTTTAGGTAGTGGCTATGCCCAGCCAAACTTATAACCCAACTGCCCTCATTCTTGGAGGATCATTATATCAGTGTGACTGATACATTTTAGCTTAGATTTTCAAGATTCAACATTTAAGATGGGGCTAAACTACGTCAACAGAGGCCTATGAGGCCTGAGAGATAAGCAGCTACAGGGGCTGCCATGATGGAAGAGGAATGACCCAAAATCTTTTTGATTTTCTAAAATCTTAGGCCCAGGCTGAATACTTGAAAAGGAGTAAAAAAACCAACTTTGAGGCAGTGAACTTAGCTTTACCTTCTTGAAACTGTTTTCTCAAGAAAATCAAGGTGATGGGTGAACTAAAAGCCCTTGTTTGAGGAAGTGTATATACAGTTAGCTTTCGGAGAATGAGTTTATCAGTGATCATCTAAGTACAGGTATAAAGCACACACACACTGTGTAGAAAATCTCTCTGGAGCATATGGCAAGCTTACATTCGTAAGGCAAGAGATAAAAGAGGCATCCATAAAGAACACATAAGAAGATCAGCCATGGAAATATGACAACACATCAACAATTATACATGGCTGCACAGAGATTGGTCCACTACCTCCACAGAGAGTCTAAATTGGTTAACTTATTTTGAGAAAAATTTGGGAATATATATAAAAGATACCTGATCTATACCTAGAGAAACCCTCAAGTCATGTTATAAATAATCAAAATATCTATAAATAAGGGAGTAGATAATGGTGTATTCATACAATGGATGTGGATACCTGAAATAAATCAAAGAAATCCATGTGCATGAATGTGGACATACATAAAAACATTATGTTAAGTGACAAAACAAAGTTATAAAGTAATGTGTATGATAAATCATTTATAGAAATTTTAAAATGCATTAAAAAACAAATCATTATATTATACATAGATTCACAGGTAGGTAGAAAAGTTTTAAGAATGAAAGAGAAGGAAATATGCCAAATGGTGGAGAACTTTTCTTCTGTGGAGGAGAGTCGGGTGGGGAGGGCCTGGAGTGGGGATAGGTACAAAGGAGTTTTGAATTCTGTCAAATTTTTGTCCTAGAATTGAAAAAAAAAAAAAATTGAAACTACTAGGATAAAAATTTTAACAGTTGTTAATTCTGGGTGTTATATTCATATAAAATTCATGTTTTTTGATTTTCTGTACTATTCTGTATTAAAAATATTTTTCAGGCTGGGGTGTAGTTCAGGGGTAGAGGGCTTACATAGAATGAGCTTGGTCCTGAATTTGAACCCCAGCACCCCAAAATCTACATTGATAACAGTCTCTCTCTGAGGCTGACAGCCAGAAGAAAAGGCGTGAATAAGGCAGAAGGCCAGTGTGGGAGGTCCTGGAAGAAGGAGATGGGAAATAAATGCAGAGAGGAGAAGACCCTGGGTAGATGGTGGTCCTTCCTCTTTCCCCTAGGAAGTCCCACAACAAAGAGGCCTGAATAAATTTTCTGAGGCTGCAGTGGCACCTGTCAGGACAAGGACAATGTGACAGGCTGGCTCTGCCTTCCTCTTCATGACTTCCAGGAGGAGTTTGAGCTCTCTGAGCCACTGAATCTCAGGGCTCTCTGCCCAAGCTCCAGGCTGTGCCAGGTGTGTGAGTGGTACTAGCCAGACTAAGAATCTTCTGGGTCATTTTGAGTCTATCAGGCAGACAATATTTAGATGAGCTACTGATTCAAATCGAAATCTGACAAGCTCAAGTGGTAGTATTTGGGGGAAAAGAATTTTTCAATAAATCATTCAGTTGGCTCGGTAACTATGAAAAAGGAGTGGAAGAATTTAAACCAACTTTGTGACAAGGGAACAAATAGAGGAGATTAATGCCTTTCCTGATATGCTTCAAAAGGTGATCAAACAAACCATTCTTGATTGTAAAAGCAGAAAGATGAAGCACTTAGCTTTCCATAAAAAAGACCATTGTTTCTTTTTTCTTTCTTTCTTGGTTTCTTCTGAAAAAGTGACTAAGTGACTGAAGGTAGCTTGGTGTTCAGTACCTTCTCTGGACCTGTGTCAGGGTGCCCTGGTCTCCTCTGATGTTCTCCAGCTATCCTAAAATTTATGCTATTCATTCAAACCCAAACTAGTATAGGACAGTGTCGGAATCCAAATTCAACCAGTTGTATCTGATCCTGATTTTGTAAAAACTGTCTAAAAACACGTTTCTATCTCACTGAGAAACAGTTGCTACCTTCAGTCCTGCTCAAAACAACTTTGGCTTTCTGTATTTCCAACCCTCCCTAAATTCCCAAGGAAGAGAGAACAGGAAAAAGAGTGAACAATGTACCCTGCCAGCCTAGCTTCTCCATTCTTAGGGCCAGCCCTGCTTGAGAAGCTGCTTCACCTCATCCATGGGCCTCCCAAAACTGGGGGATGGTTCCAGAAGGGTCTGACCCTGGCTTCTTACATGCACCCTGTAGCATCAGCAACATAGCCTGGCTGCTTTCAATTAGCATCTCTGCTGTGTTCTGGGTGGTACATTTGATGCTTACTAAAGAAACAAAGGATATCACCAGAGCTGATGTGGGTAGTGGTGGAGTTCACTGAGAATTCTTCTTCCCTTCTGCACCTAAGTGCTTTGAGGCCCACCCCATTAAAGCTGGTGCCCCACATCAACCTCTGCTTTTCTCTTGTCACCAGATCCCAGCATCCTGCAGTCTCATTCCAGCCTAGGCCAGCTCCTCTAAACTTTTCCACTTGATGGACACTGGACCTTCCATAGGGGACAAAAGGAAAACTGGATTCAGGGCTCCTCCTCCACCCCCACCTTTCCCACTCCAGTTGCACAAAGGGCTGAACTCTTCCTTTGCCCCAACCTGGCCTCTCTCTCGGAGCTGAACCATCAAGAAGCTGCTGGCTGCAGTCAGCTCCCTCTCCTTTGGGGCCCAAATATTTCCAGGGTCCAGGGCCAGGCCAGGAGAGGCCAGGATACCAGAAGAACGTGGGCAGACAAAGAAGATGCAGACGGGATAGTATTACCATGTTAATGGCCTGAGTCTGAGGCCTCCTGAAGATGCAGGGAGGGTGGGTTTTCTTTCTCTTACTTTTTTTTTTTTTTGCCAAAGGAGAATAGTTCCGCATTCTATTTTACTTCAACAATAGCACAGACCGGCTCCTTCAAGTGTTTCAAAAAGCGCCTGAGAAATCTCTAACCAGCCCCTGGGTCTCTCTGGCCTGCCGCTTCATTGTCCCTCCCACCCCAGTGAACAAAGGGGTGGGATGGGTGTCAGGCCCCCAGTTGCTGCCTGTTCTCACATCCTAATCCTTGGGAATGGGAGGGGAATGGCCTGCAGAGTTGCTCGATCCTATTCTGCTCTCACTTTTTACTCCCTTCCACTGCTTGTGCAGAGCTTCAGGTATTAGCAAACCTCCTGGGCAGGGGCTGGAAGGAATCTTGGCCTTGCTAAGAGATAAAAGGCACTGAGGGACCATTCCTAAGTTCACTAGCAGCATGGATTTTTCTTCTCACTGCTCCTGCTCACTCTATTATGGAGCCTGGTGTCAAGGCACAGACCTGTCTCACCCTCCCAGCCCTTCCCCTCTGTCTCTGTGCCCCTCTGAAATGGACTGCAGACCCCACTCAGAGCTCCAGGTGCTACCACGCCAGAGCAACCTTGCACACCAGGAAAGCTTTCAGCCTTGACTTGTGGGTACCTTTCCAAGTTTACCACCCAGGGAGAAAAGGGTTTCTTTGCTTTAAGCCTGGGGAATTGTGCAGGTGTCTTTTTTAGCTCAGTCATCAGGTAAGAAAGGGAAAAATAAGCCTTTATGTTCCAGTGTATGAAGATCTCAAGAGAACAACTAAAGGTATCAGGCTAAATGAATGATAAGTATATCACCCCCCAGGAGGATCAGATAAAGCTGAAGTGAAAAGTGAAAAGAAAGCAAGGAACCTGGAGACAAGAGAGTGAGAAATGAAAAATGGAGACCAGGCAAAGATACACATGAGAGTTTTATTTGTCAGAGCTGACAAATAAAGGCACATCTCTCCATTTATGGAGAGAGGCAAAACAGGCTTGGGGTTTGGGACTTTTATGGGGCAGGCTCAGAGATTAGAGCCCCATGGGTCCTAATGAGGGTGGGGTTGGTAGGAGGGAGTGGTGAGCCTTTCTCAGAAATGCCCTTGGGAGGAAAGTGAAATTTTTCTTAAAATGGCTGTCACTTAAGATGGCCATTCAGATGCTAAGCAAGGACCTTACAAGAAGGCTTTTAGAGATTACCAGGGCTGGTTACTGCATTCAAAGCTTAAAAAAAAAAAAAAAAAAAAGGAAAAGAAAAAAAAGTGTCACCCTGCAATTCCTACATATGAATTCATGACATGCACAAGTGCACACACAAGCACACACATAATAGATATTTCATTAAACAATACAATATGTGATATAATCTGATATTTTCTATTCTCCCTTCTTTTTTCCTAAATGCTGATCATGATTTATCAATTTCATATCATGACCCACTAATTGGTTACAGCAAAGTTTGCAAAGCCTTGAATCAACATTTTCACTTTCAAGAGGACAAAATTAGGGCTCAGAGATTTTCTCAAGATCATATCAGAGCTGAAATGAACCCCAAGAGTTCTTTACAATCAAAGAGGGACCCTCATTTTTCTGAGAGCACCCTTTTCCCCCTTAAAGTCTTTGGAGCACAGAGCCAAGAGGGCAGGGAGTGCCGGAAGTGTATTCAGTGGCACTGCCGACAGAGGCAGAAGGGCTCTACTGCCTCCAAGATCTCTGGGAGGGAAGCACAGCTGAGAGTTGGGCTGGAGAAAACCTGTAGCAAGCATCCAGGTGAAGTTCTGAGGCCACCCAGGCATTTTATATGTTGGTTGGGGATTTACATTATGAGCCATCTCTCTGAATTTCTTCTTTCCTGGACGCACTGCTCTAGGTCAGTTTCCTTTAGTAATCCATTTTCTCCCATTTTCCAGTTTTTTCTAACAGTCATTCCTTGTGGTTCTTTGACCTTTACCAGTTTATTATATCTCTAGTTTCTCTTTTCTCTAACCAGTTTTCTTTTCCCTGTCAAAATCATGGTCTTAACAATGAGGATCAGGGAAGCAATCCAGTAGATCTTAGTTCCACACATGTCCCTGATGTTATCCACATTAGACCAAGCTTAGGAATGTCATTTATCAAGGTATAAACATCTCAACAAGATTTCACTACAAGTCCTTAGGGCAGAACTAATTCTTTTCATCCTGGATTTGTCTTATAATCTTCCATAGGATTTCTTGAAATGTCCCTCTATATTTGCTATTTACTAGACTTCTTATCTTTTAAAACAGCCTCTAAAAATGAAGAGCTCAAAGCCACACTGTGCACTGGGTAAATAAAAACCGAGCTTTCTGATTGCTTATTAGTTATACACCCTTAGAGAGTATGTAACAAAGGGGCCTGCTGTTTGCTTTGCTTAATCTGGTCTTAAAATCTCTGCTTCTTTGTCAGAAAACAATATTTGCAATTGTAAAAAAAAATATTTACCAAGGAACTTGGATAGCATAAGTCAAAGGCTAAGAGCTAAAGGTCAGTAGTTCTTATCCCAAATTTTTGTGAACCTGAGGGTCCCTGCTGTGAAGCTCAATTGCATCAAACAAACATGCAGCTTTTGAGTCCATTAAGAAGCAGACATTTTAAAAGGGGAAGGAAAGGGAGGGCTGCAGTCTATTCCTCAGTCAGAAGGGTGAACTCTCCAGCCTGCCCCACAGAATTCCTGCTAGATATTTGTAAAGCAATGTGTCTCCATGGGAATATTACTGGGACTACCCTCTTTCCAAAATTGTGGAAAAACCTCAACTTACAAAATCTTACCAGGCAGACATTCCTTCCATGAATGGCCTTGGCAATAAGCTTCTCAGGCCTGAGGTTCACCTATGTATCTCTGTGGGTGGACCTGCTGCTTAATAGTGGGGGACAGAGGAATATCGTGGGCATTTCTTTATCCACAAAGGAGTTTTAGACATCTGACCCTTCTAAGAGACTGATTCTTCTAAGTTTAATGGTGTTTGAATTTATGCCTTTATGTTAATTATTCTCTGGAAAGATTTGCCATTGGGTGCCTTTCCTAACCTCCAGAGTATCTGGCATCTGCAGAACAGTTCTGGCATCTGAATTACAGCTTGTGGCCCAGGAGTGTTCCACTTTGAGCAAGAATTTGAGTCCTTTCAAGTCCCAAGCCTATGTTACAAGGTGCAGGTAGGCAAGGCCTGGTCTCTAGCAGAAGGACCTGCTGAGACTCAAACACCAGAAAGGGAAACATAGTAACCATAAGGAGGCAGGAAATGGAGCTCATGGAGTCGGGACACTCCATGAGAGAGTATGTAACAAAGGGTTACACAGGCTGCCAGTCCAGATGCTGCCACGGCCTGTGAAGTGAGAGGGCTCCTCCACACCATCCAGTTCACACCATAGGATCTCTGTAGAAGACTGATGGTGGCAATTCCTAGATTTCTTCCTTTCACTTTTTGGTTCTTCCAATCTGTTATTAACAATATAGTCCTCCCTCATCCACACCCCAACCTTTTGTCAAATTGTTGCCACAACTGCCAATCTCTTGATCTTGTCAGGGAAATATCACTGGCCAATTCACGTTGGCCTTTGATTCTGTCCTAAAATAGATTCTTTTGGACCACAGCAATGTTACCTCTAGTAGTGAGCAGCATTGAGCATAGTCAGCTTGAAGAAATGGCTTAACCTAAGGATCTTACCTTGAAGAACCAGGCCTTCCTCCTTGATGGTGTAGATAAATGAGGTGAAGGGAGCCAGAGGGGATTTGGCAATGAGAATCTGCAAATAAATCACATTTTTCCAGAGTCAGACAAAAAATCAGGTATGAGTCTCTATTTACTACTCTTCTAACTTTGACATAGAGTGGTATCACATGACTGTAAGTCATAAGGTTTATTATTTTCAAAAAATCTTTTAGAACCAAATGTTCAAATGAATGATATCTTTTCAAAATGATCACTTTAGAAGGATATGGTGTTTATCCAAATATTCTGCCACCAAGTGCCATATTCTTGAACCAATTCTTCCAGAAATAAGACACATTATTTTTTATATCACAGCTACTTTTCTGCTCAAAGATAAACCTAGCTCCATTCTTTAATTTTATGAATAAACAGTTAGTTAAAAAAATTCAAAGTGACCCTTAAAATATTTACCATTACTGCAACTATTCAAATTAACTTGCCAAAGACAAAGCAATGGTAAATTGCTTTCTTGGACCCAATCCCTCACCTTGTCTGTATTTACACCCTTTATCTTGTGACTATATTTTCTCTTCAGGTGTAGTGCATTTTCCATGCCCTTGACTGTGGGGTTGTCCACATGACTTGTTTTGGCTAGTTGTTTTGTGCCAGTTCCCAGATTATGCCTCAAGAAGTCTCAAGTATTTCCATTTGTTTTCTTATGCTTCTGCCAATGCCAGAAAAAAAAAATGTCCAAGCTAGGCTGCTATCTCAGAAGGGTAAGAGACACCTGAAAAGAGCTGGCCAGCCAGGACCATCTAAACAGCTGAACTCGGGGGGCCTATACACATATAAGTTAAATATTGCTATATACCGCTCAACTTCTGGTGGTGGTGTCATGAAGCATTATTGTAGCAAGAGGTGACTGATAACACCAGCCAGAACAAAATACCAAAAGCACTTTTGGCAATGGCATTCTTCTACAACAAATACCTATTTAAAAAGAGATGATCATTTGGTTATTTAAAAAATCAGTATCTTTGTTGGACGTGGTGGCACACGCCTGTAATCCCAGTGGCTCCAGAGGCTGGGATAGGGAGGATCACGAATTCAAAGCCAGCCTCAGCAATTTATTGAGCCCCTAAACAACTCAGTGTGACCCCATCTTTAAATAAAATACAAATAGGGCTGGGGATGTGGCTCAGTGTTTGAAAGCCCCTGAGTTCAATCCCTGGTACCCACCCCCCCCAAAAAAAATCAGTATCATTAACTCATTGTCACACTTCATGAAGATCTACAGAAACTCTAAGGATTGGTAGATTTTTATGATATTTTATTGAAGAAATATGAATATCAGTTTCCTGTTTTTCAAATCAAAATAATATCATCAAAAACAGTGACAAGGGACTGGGGCTTGCCTAGCATAGTTGAGGCACTGGGTTTGATCTCAGAACCACACAAAAAATAAATAAATAAAATAGTTATAAAAAATATATATTAAAAAAATAGTGATAAGCCAGGTGCAATGTTGCATGTCTGTATATGTGCATAGGCCCTTGGTCAATGCCTAGTGCTACGGAAAAAAAAAAGTGACACTGGGTCACGGAACCACTTAGGTAATCAGGAAAGCAAGGAAGAAGGAAGAATTAATTGCAAACAACCAAAAGGCTTACACATATTTCAATTCAACAAATATTTATTGTCTGTCAATTATGAGAAGTGGTAGAATAACGGGGTAAGGAGATCACAGGTTTTAGTCATGGGGTTTGAGTCTTGCTCTTCTACTAGTTGGCTAATCCTCAGCAGAGCCTGCACATATTCCCTACTAGCCACTCCCCTTCTTCCTTTTAGTAAATAACTGCCCAAGTTTCCACATTTCTCTGCCTCTTTTGCAACAAGGTGTGTAGCCATGTGATTAAAAGACTATGAGTACAAATGACAGGTAGAACTGCCAGATTCTGTTTTCATAAGAAAATTGCATGCCCTTCATTTTCTCTTTTCCCCTTCCCAAGGGCAGGAACCAGTTCCAACCACATAGACAGGACAACTTCCTGGTCATTATGAAGCAACATGGGAGGAGAAAGCTTGGTGACTTCAGATAGCATCAATACCTTCTAGCTGGGTCACTTGTCCCCTCAGGACAGAGCTACTTGTTTCAATCACTGTATTTCAGCTGTCTTTGTGATATAGTATAGACTGAACTCTAACCAATACTGTGATGCTGGACAACTTAAACTTTTTGAATCTCAGTTTCCACATTTGTCAAATGGGGATAAAAGCATTAAATGAGATTATCATGAAGATTAAATTAAATATATAAAATACTTGTCAAACACTAGTAAATGCCTAATAAATAACAGGAGCATTTCTAAGCTCACCAAAACCCCAAATACTTTGCTTTTCAATAAGGAAGTCTCTAGTTGAATCTCAATAATTTTTAGTAGCTGCTCTAAAATTATTCACAAACTTGCAAACCATTTTCATAACCAATGAGTATAGGTGGGCAATTATACTTTCATGTTAAAAACATGACATCTAAAAATTAAGATGGATCATTTTCTGACTGAGGTTGAGGTTCACATGAAGTTTAAGGATGCCCTTTCACAGGGGAACGGCATGGCAGAAGAAAGGATAGTGCTTTTCAAATTTCAATATGGGTATGGATCACCAGCAGGTCCTGCTGACCTGCAGATTCTGATTCAGTAGATTTTGAACAGGACCTGAGAGTCTGCACTTCCAACAAGATCCCAAGAGATGCTGATGCTGTGGTCCCAAGATCACATTATAAGTAGCCTGATTGAAGAATCTAAGAAAAACAAGAGATGGGAGGTATAGAGCCAATTAGAAAGATACTACAGTAATTCAGTGATGAGAATAAATTATGAGATGTGGCCTAAACCACAATTGTGTCAGAAAGAATGGGGAAAAGGAACAAGATCAAATAGGAATGAAAGAAACTAAACATACCCCAAATCTCAGATTGCTGTTGTCTAAACGTAGCAACCAAACATGAAACCAAAAGGGTATAAATAAATAGCAATCAATAATGTGACATTCCAATGCTTGATGAAATAATAGCCCCTGCACCTAAGCCTCCCAATTCTGTGGTGCCACCTCTGTAGTCTAATGCCCATCCTAAGAACAAGTCCTAAGTCCCAGCCAAGGGAATCTCACACCTGTGAGGACCCTTCTGCAGGCAATCAAAGGGTTTGAACAGGTCACTGATTAATGCTCCATTTTTGGGGGGAGCAGTATTTAAAATGAGTCATCAAAAGGATGATTTGTGTGCAGTCAGAAAGAGGAAGTGATAAATAATGTCAGATGAATCCCACTTCCTTTTTTTGGGACAGAACTTCTAGATCAGAGGGCTGTCATCAACATGAAATATCTGATTTTGGGAAAAAAAGTGTGACAAACTCTTTTGACAGCCTGGTAGATAAAGTAAAGACAAGTTGCACTGAATACTAAGACCATTAGAGTGAATTTGTAAGTGGCGCAAAGCTCAGTAGCAACCTGTGAAGGGATCAAACTTTGATGTGATGCACTGGTTTCTAGCCTTGGTCCTGTTCCAATTTTTAACTGACCTGAATGAGGATGCTGACATATTCAACTACATCCATACAACAAATGTGGAATCCAGCAGGGACTAGAACTGACAAAAAAAAAAATGTTGCACTAATAGAGCTTAAAAGCTAAAGGAGGAAAAAGGCAATAAACTAAATATGGTATCTTAAGGTGATTATATGTGCTATGGGGAACAAGGGCAGTTAAAGAGTATAGTAAAGAGTATATGAAGTACATCAGAGGAGGGTGTCATTTTTAAATAGAGTAGTTTGAAAAGACTTCTTTGACTTTTGGATCATGTTACTAACCTTATTGATGGGTTGTTTTAATAACAGGAAGGTAATAGAAGACAAGAAAGTCAGAGGAGGAATTCATATATTAGATCATACAATCATGATATCCTAATGAATCTCAATTTGGTAAAAATATTAGGACCATGTGTTTTAGAATGCTGAAATCCTTGAGAACAGAGCACAAACTTTGGCTATAGAATGGAGAAGATAAAATAAAGCATTCAGAAAATGGCTTAGAAATGTTGGTTAATAATAATTCAACATGAATCAGGAGTAAGATGTGATTCTCAAAGATATAGTATGGTCTTGGGTCATTGTAATGGAAGTATAGTGTCTGGAACAAGGGCTGTGATAGTTCTGCTGTCCTCTTGACTCAGCAAACCACACATTACACAGTGTGTATAGATTGGGGCCCAGAGTCCAAAAGTGAAGCTGAAAAATGGGAGAGCCAACAAGGTGAAGATGGGGCTGGAGTTGTAGCTCAGTGGTAGAGCACTTGCCTCGCAAGTGAGAGGCACTGGGTTCGATCCTAGCACCACATAAAAACAAATAAAGGCATTGACTCCATATACAACAAAAAAATTATAAAACAAAAACAAAAAACCAGGTAAAGATGCCAAAGCAATCCATAATTAACACACTGCAATGCAAACATGATTGTCAGAGGACTGGGTGAAGGTGTTTAATATGAGTTTTCTGATCTAGAGTTTGATAGTGTTACCTACTTGAGAGGAGATGGATCAATAAGCTTTCAGTTCAGTTGGTTTTGGAGGGGAAATATAAGTTAGCTTTTAGCTTAGTAGATTTCAGGGTGGGGGAGGGAGTGATGCTTGCCATGTATCTTTGTGAATACACACAGATTTTTCTTTTTAAAGATCTGAATCAATGTCCAGTGCCCATGTGCTTTTCTGTCATTCAAACTATAAACTATCTTCTCTAAAGTAAACAACTACCCCAGCAGAAAATTTAGGCTATTCTGTTTCACGTGTTCAGCCATTCCATAAATTTGGGTTGTTCTAATATCTGACCTGGGCTGCTATCATGTGTCAATCTATCTTCTTCAATATATAATGTCCTGCAGGGAGGCCTAGAGGCCTAAAAAACCCTCCAAGTCCCTAGTAAAAATTCTGATCCCACTCAATCCTGTGTGCATTGTGTGGAGCTGACTCTGGAATTCTCTAAGTTTTCAAAGAAATATGTACTTGAATAAGTATAGACATATGTGGTTTAGAAAGCCTGG